CGAGTTTTGAGCGACGGGCTAATCTTCTATGGGGGAGAATGGCTGTGTCCGGGTACACAAACGAGGGTCCGAGCAAGAGGGGACTCGCTCCTTTCAGTCTTCTTGAACTGTCGGGTACGATGCCCGATTTGTAAGTTGAGGAGGAAAGATAAACAGGAGAAAGTTAAACAATTGTTTCATGACCCCTTTAACTGCTACAGCGAGATCCTAGCATCAAGCAGGATGGCAAAGTGGGAACTTTCTAAAGAGCTACTCTGCCTGTGGCACATTTGATTCAGCTAAGGTTATGCAATGGCAGACGAAAAAGTTAACAACATTGAGGGAACTTGACTACAGACCTTTATTTCTGAGAAACAGTGAAACAAAAGTCTGATTACTTATTTATTATCCACAGATTTTGTTCACGCCAAACAACATAAAAGTAAAAAGAAAAAAAAATCATCGCAATAAAGATAGGCTTTGAAATAAATTACACTATGCAAAATAAACACACCTCTAGCCACAATTCAAAGGACCCTGTAACCAAAGAAAATTCATGGCCGAGTTAGTATTCACTGAGATTTGCTTCCCCGACCCTCCTCATTCTAATAAAAAAAATATAAGAATGTTAACCATCAGTGAAGCAAAGAAACGAAGTACTAGCCTGTGTTACACAAAAACAAGCAAAAGGAATTTTCCAGCATGCAAGGACACCTCAGGTCTGAAAATTCTGATGCAGACAGCCAGGCAACAGGTAGACAACTGCCAGGAACATGAAGACGGAACAAGAGAGTACTGGGAACACCTAACACAATGGAAAGTGACATCTCCAAGCATGTGTCATATAAATACATGATTGAGAAGATGCGAGAACAAGGAAAAAAGGCGAAAACACTTAAAGTATAAGCATGCTTGTCAGTTCCAAATTTTCCAAAACTTTCGTCAATGCAGCCCTGAAGGGGATTACACTGTTTTCGAAATGGGCACAGTGCTAATTTATAGCAAAACCTGCTGGGTTGTGTGAAGGATATTCAAATAGCAATGTCCCAACCGGTAGCAGGAAGTGTTGTGGTGAACACACACAAACTCAGCAATCAGTCCCCCACTGAGGAAACTGCTAGAATGAGGTCTTAGCACGGTACAGGACGTAAAAAGAAAAATCTTGGAAAAAGTTAAGTCATACTACTTAATGGGGGACACTACCCAGAAAAAGAAACTTCTGAAAAAAAGTAGATTTTGAAAAATGCCATGTTTACATCCACCAACACCTAGAGAGTATTCTCAGAATGTTTTATTTGTTTGCACTGCATAGTTATTTTTTTATAAATTATTTTCGGTCCATCGATGCTAAAGTAAAAGTAGAGATTCAAGCACTTTGAGCGTGTTTTTCTTCGTTCCAATTTTTAGCATAAATTTCACATTAGGAAAACTATTGTTAGGTGATTAGACAAAAGGAAAGGCTTATTTGTGTTTTTCACAACTGGAAATTAATGGGCATTACATATTGGGTATTACATTAGTTTCCTAACAATAGTTTTCCTAAACAATGTCAGCATGTTTCTAATAAAAACAACTATAATTTCTTTCACATTTCATGTACACAGATGAAAGTTTGCCTTGCATTTTGTCTCACCACTACCAGCATATGTACTGTAATTTTTATTCATAATAAGCCAAAGGTTCAAAAGTTGACCCTTTTCGGTAGTGTCCGCCCTTAAGGTACGTTCACACACTTGCGTTTGACTATGACCGAGACAAGACTGGCTTTTAAGCACTTGTGACTGCTTACGATTGGCTGCACAACAATGCAGAAAGTCGTAAGCTCTCACTAGAGCCTTAATAACCTGTTTTTAGCCTCTCTGGTCGTAAGCAGTCACAAGGGTGTGAACAAGCCGTTACATTAGTATCGAATTCCACAGCAGCTGAAAGAAACAATGTAAAAATTTAAACTGCCAACCATTTTTTTTAATAAGCAAGATTAAATTCTGATTGCACATTAACCTTTGTTACTTTTGTATCTTCCTCATAGATAGGAGTAGTATCAAGAGAAAACGTTAAAACATTTTTACAAACATATTAGCCCTTGTCTCAAGGAGAACACCTCGAGCTAATTCTAGGGGGCTTGGAACAAGAGCTAGAGCATGACCCAATGTACATGCAGTTGTAGAACACAAGAGTAGTTGCTCTGAAAAATATTAAACAATGTTTCCTAATCATTGACCCAGCCTCTAGATCACAGCTGGTGAAGAATCATTTACTACGCACCAATACATTTGTGTGATGACAAACGGTGGCGTTTGGACCAGAGGCTCCACACCAAGGCCAAATAGTTTGGCTCTGTGTGCACACCCTAGGTGGCTAACCAAGCTGGAATCCCGATTCAAGTTTCTGGGATATTGCTGGCATTTGTAAGGCCCACTTCGTTCAGGCATTACACAAATGCCTTTATGGCTTGTTAACCTCGTGTGTTAGCAGGTGCCCGATGAGGCAAGACCATTAAAACAATGACCTGGGATGCTGCTGGAATTTGTCAGGCTTATTGCGCATAAGGGCTTCAGTGTGGCATGCTTATATATTAATCTGAGCAAAGCCTTTGGGACCTATGCTGCGCTCGGTTATGTGTATACTTCCATTGGGTACAGATCCAAGAGGTGTCATACTCCGTTCGAGGCGGAGGAGGAAAGGAGAAAGGAGGAGGATTAGAGAAAGAGAGAGGGGAGTGATTGAGGAGGGAACTGGGGGAAGACCCCCGCAAAAACAAAAGAGGGGACTTTTGTCTCTCTTTGTCGCAAAAACAAAAGAGAGGACTTGCAGTCGGGGAGGTTCCCCGGCGATTTGTTGTGGGCACTTTGTAGTGGGTACTTTGTTGTGGCGTTCTAGCAGATTTAGTTTCTGGATGTTCAACTAAACGCCGGTCGCTTACTGTTACAGATAATTAATGAGGTTAATATTTTTAATACCCTCGACTAGCTCTACCTGCCGCAAAAGGCGAGGGGCTGCACCGGGAGGATCGTGGATGCCAGCTGGCAAAATAAGGACTGCTGCAACGCTGCAGACACACCTTAAGTGGCCGAGATGGATGTCGATGGACGGCCCCATCTGCTGCAATGATCCCTTCCTCAGAGTCCTTGATATCATCGCTAAGCACTACGCAATGCCTTAGAGCCCTCGGGGGATGCGATTTAAGATTTAACTAACAAAATCATTCTGTGTTGATTTCTGAAGTGATCGAACTGAGAACTTATTTTTACTCTTAGGAGCACAGGGGCAAGAAGCACGCACTCTTCACATTGGGCTTATTTCTTAGGTCTTCAACAACATACTAGGTAAATTGTTTTGATTTCGCATAGCTCATATTTTAACATTTTGAATTTGGATTGTTTTGTTATTTTATTTCACAATGTGAATTATAGTTTTTTTGGGGATTGGGTCGATCCTGGGTAAAAATTTGTTTCCCAAACTTATTTGAAAGGGACTGTTCCTATTCTGCTTCTAAATCGCCACGGTCTGCCGTGGCGATTATCTGTAACCATAAACGACCAGCGTTTAGTCAAACATGCAGAAAAAGAGTTTCTAAATATGCTAGAACGCTCTAAGCACGGGAAAAGAAGATATCACATTCCAATTTGTCTGCTTCCCCACAACAAACTGCCGGGGGACCTCCCCGACTGCAGGTCCCCCCCTATTTTTTCTCAACAAATTTTCGGGGGCAGTTCCTCTGTTTCCTTCTCCTCTCTCTCTCTCTCTCTCTAATCCTCCTCTCCATCCTTCTTTCTTCCTGTCTCATGTCCCTGTACTTTCTTCTTTCCTCCTCCTCGTTGAGCAGAGTACGACACCTCCAGGATCTGTACCCTTCGATTGAAATGACATCAAGTTCTGCATGAGTTAAATGATTACACATGGGGCAGGCTCAACTTTTGGGTCAACTGCAAGGCATTCCGCATGTGTGCATCTGGTTCTGGCACATAAACTTCTACACTGAGTAAAGCTTTTGGGCCATTGTTTGCAATTGTATGGTTTTTAAACACTGTGTTTGATAATGGTGGGAAAAGACTGGCATTATGAGGAAAGGCTTGTATTTAAATGGCTATGGAGATATGTGTCGTGTTTGTCCTCCTTGTCACCACTCTCCAGGGTTAAAATGTCTATATTCAACCAGCTCGCCTGCACCCTTGCTTTAGCTTTTCACCTGCGTGCGTTTAATTATGGCTTCTCAGATAGCAATTTCAAGCAAAGGCTTCAGGGTACTGCTTGCACTTAAATGGCTTTTCTCCAGTGTGTTTGATTATGCTTTCTCAGATAGGAATCCTAAACAAAGGCTTCGAGGCACTTCTTGCACTTAAACGGGTTTTCACCAATGAGCAAAGGATTAAAGCTTCATAGATGGGAATTTCAAGCAGACTTGGGGTCACTGCTTGCATTCAAATGACCTTATACCAGTGTGCCAATGATGCATTTGTAGATAGGAATTTTGAGCAAAGGCTTGGAGGCACTCCTTGCACTTAAATGGCCTTTCACCAGTTCGCATTCAATGACGGCTTTGGAGATGGGAATTTAAAGCAAAGGCTTTTGGGGCAATCACACAATTACATGGCTTTTCACCAGTGTGTTCCATTATAGCTTCTCACCAGTGTGCATTCGATTATGGCTTTGTAGAAGATAATTTTGAGCAAAGGCTTGGGGGCACAGCTTACACTTAAATGGCTTTTCACCAGTGTGAAAACGATTATGGCTTCGTAGATAGGAAATTCGAGCAAAGGCTCGGGGGCACTCCTTGCACTTAAATGGCTTTTCACCAGAATGCAAATGATTATGGCTTCGTAGATCGGAATTTCGAGCAAAGGCTCGGGGGCACTGCTTGCACTTAAATGGCTTCTCGCCAGTGTGCGTTCGATTATGATATATCAGATTGGAATTTTGAGCAAAGGCTCGGGGGCACAGTTTGCACTGAAATGGCTTTTCACCAGTGTGCATTCGAATATGCTCTCTCAAATAGGAATTTTGAGTAAAGGCTTGGGGGCACTGCTTGCATTTAAATGGCTTTTCACCAGTGTGTGTTCGATGATGGCTTCGCAGATGGGAATTTCGAGCAAAGGCTTGGGGGCACTCCATGCACTTAAATGGCTTTTTCCCAGTGTGCAACTGATTATGGCTTCGTAGATCGGAATTTCGGGCAAAGGCTAGGGGACACTGTTTGCACTTAAATGGCTTTTCACCTGTGTGCAATTGATTATGGTTTCGTAGATCAGAATTTCGAGCAAAGGCTCGGGGGCACTCCTTGCATTTAAATGGCTTTTTATCAGTGTGCGTTAGATTATGGCTTTGTAGATGGGAATTTTGAGCAAAGGCTTGGGGACACTGCTTGCACTTAAATGGCTTTTCACTAGTGTGCATTTGATTGTGCTTTCTCAGATAGGAATTTTGAGCAAAGGCTTCAGGGCACTGCTTGCACTTAAATGGCTTTACATCAATGTGTGTTCGATGATGCTTTCTCAGACAGCAACTTTGAGCAAAGGCTTGAGGGCACTGCTGGCACTTAAATGGCTTTTCACCAGTGTGCCTTCGATTATGGCTTTGCAGATGAGAATTTCGAGCAAAGGCTTGGGGACACTGCTTGCACTTAAATGGCTTTTCACCAGTGTGTGTTCGATGATGACAGGTCAGATGGGAATTATAAGCAAACTCTTGGGGACAAAGCTTACACTTAAATGGCTTTTCACTGTTGCGCTTTTGAGTGTTGCGAGGCACTTGGGCCTTAGAGCCAGACTTGAGAGGATGCTGGCACTTGGATTCTTCATCACCATGGGCAGCCAGGTGGTTCACAATTCCATGCTGATCTCTGGTAACATAGGTGCAGGAACAGCATCTGAACCAGATGTCCTCGGTGACTTTCAGTGGGCAGCTGGTCTCCCCCAACAATGTGGCTTCATCACCTAGAAGACCATACCGTAAACAATTAATTTTTTGCAGGCTCAATATTTCGCGATTTAGGTCAAAGCTGAAGTTTTGAAATAATTCACGGGTTCTCATTTTTGCAACATGGTGGGATTGTAACATAGATTCTAATGTATTAACATTTTTCCGGAATTGTTCACAGGGCGTATTCTTCGCAAATTGTAGGCGATTCGCTAAAATTAGGTCCTCACAAAAATTAAGATGTTTAGAGTATCTATTCACACACAAGGAAAGCCCAACTAAGATAGCCACTTAGTTCGGAAAAGAGTATACATTAATGCAGTTCGCTGCAGCTATAGTTAAATATTTTGCTGCACTCTGAAATTTGATTCACAGAACCACTCAAATGCAACTGGCACCATTCAAGGGGCAGTGCAACAATATTCAATTGGGATGTTTTTCCCTTTTTACGAGCTTACTGGCACTAGTGGGACTCAAGGATACTCGCACGCAACGCTACTGACCAAGAAACTCCTTTGTTGCGCTGTAATTTCGAGGACAAAACTGAGTGTAACTGGGCAGTAGCAGTATCGCCCAGTGACGATATTTGAATGCGGCTCATAGATTGGACCCGAGCATGGCGTGGACACTTGATTTGGGCTCATGATAACCAATATCTCGAGAAGCATTCGGGTAGTGTCCTGTGTCCAATCGCTGCAATGACGACAACAGCCGAACCATAACAATGTCTGGAACTCAGCATGTGTCCTGTGCCTTGCCAACCCCAGAGCATGGCGTGATCAACATTGGTGGCATATAATCGGCTCCAGATCATGTGGCCACTTGTTCTGGCTGCGAGTTGAGAGGGTGAACTCTGCTCGTTTTTCTTTATTTTTTTCTGCAACTTCGATTGCGTGTGGTCAAAAACGAACGGGCATTTCATAGGTCAGTAACGTCAGGGACCCGTTCTAAGCGGTATTTGCGCAAAATACAAAAACCATTGCATCACCCCTTTAAGGCAAGCCCCTAATCTTGAAAAACCAAAATCTTTAAAAAAACTCACTTTTTATTATTGTTATTTATAAATTATATTTTACATATCTTCCCACTTTGAAAAGTTTTTGCTTTTTCAAAAAAAAATTTCATTTTTCATCAAAAAATGTTTTTACTACAGTGCCTTTCAATTAAAAATCTGGATCTGAATACTTTTTTGGGGCTGGATACCTATTTATTCTGAAAGTATAACAAAACAATATCGCTGGAGGTTGTAATTATGTCGTTTTCTAAGTGGCAATAACTTTGATTATGGCAGTTCAGATGGAAAGTCTTCCATGAAGTTATCAGTAAAAGAATTTCAACATGTGGTGCAGTCATGTCCCGCTAATATGGATGCCCCGCTATATAGACAATTTTGGGGGACCAATTCCTCCCTATGCAACTCTGCCTCATGAATATTAACAGTCGGAGTACAGGCTAAGGACAGCTAGTTCTGGGAACAAACTTGGTAAATACATGCAAGTCTGTCTTATTATTATGCACACAAGAGGGTTCACTAATAAAAAAAGAGCTTAGTTAAGACCTTTGGGTTACAGAGTTCACCAAGTTTCCCTACTTTCGGCTGCTTTGGCAGTCCGAAGAATAAACACATAAAAGGCTAAATTTGAAGATACAGATAAAATCTGCACTATGTTTAGAGAGGAGACAAAAGAATTGAACATGTGATTCTAACGTATAAGGAGTTTAGTGCTGCCCTTCCCAAAGAAGTGACAGACGTATCGGAGCCTAATTTGGCTGGAGAAGCTGGCAGTTTGGATTACAGTAAAGTAGATCCAACGGAGAGGTTAGAATGCTGGTAAAAATTATCTGGGAAAAAGCGATTGAAGAACAGCTACCATAAAATACCAAGTGAGCGCTCATTACACTTACCCTGAAAACGGGAATAATCTTGAAATGGGTGCTTGTTCGGTTAAATCAGGCGCTCAGTGTATAATTCACAGTATTCCCAAGTTTGGAACATGTTAATAGTGGGCACTTGAAGAAAATAGGCACTTCATCGGTATTTTACAGTAAATAGCACAGCTGGGGGCTGCAAAAAAATTGGTACTCCCTTCCTAGTGGCTCTGCCCCAAGGTCTTTGTATCTGTCACCTCAGATATTGACCAACAAGTCACAGTCCTCCGTACCCGTCATTGGCACACAGAGAGCACACTTTTTGAATTGTCGAAACAGTTATTTTCTTAATCGAAAGTTTTCTGCATCGCAGGCTTCTTTTTCAATTTCAACTACCACATACTTCTTTCAGCTTCCTTCACTGCACTCTTAACTGACTTTGTCCTCTTCATTCTTTCCTAGCATTAGCCCAGTACCTGGTAAGAGCTCACTTCCTCTTGACTCCACATCTCTCGTGTAGTGGCGACGAGATGTTTTGGTGGCGGCACCTCGCATTTGTCCTCTTGTGAAGCAGCTGGTAGTATGCGAGTAGACGACACGCTATCTCAAAGGACGGAGTGAGTTAGCCTGCATCTATGCCGATTAAAAATGGCTTATTTATAAAAGAAATGTGTATGACATTTTTGTGATCTTTCTAAGGAATAACAATGCCTCGAAGTCGCTTGTTATTTTTAAAAAACTTCAAAATGTTCGAAAACAAGCCCAGAGCTTCACATTACAGCTTGCGTGGCATGCGTCAGGGCTCATCACAGCCTTTCCGATTCTTGTTTTTTCTGGATCTATGAAGGCTACTGTAGAAAAAGGCTTTGCATTCACCAGAGTAAATAATGTTCCGTCTTCTTCGCTGTGCATGCATGCACAGTTGTGTTGCAAAGTGCCGCACACTTGTATTCGCTACATTGAGGTTGCTGATACCGATACTTCTATCCAAGTGTAACTCGACAGTTGATGGCAAGCAAATGCTCGTCAGCAAGAGACACTTTGCTCCGCTTGCATCAAATGTGGCAAAGAAGTTTGTCACATCGTGACTTCTGCTTGAAAGAAAAGCAAAAATTTTCACAATCCTTAAATTCTCTGAAAAGGCCCAGCAAATTCAGGGGATTGATTAGTCTGTTCTATCCAATTTTCACTAATAATTGTTTACAAATCTAAAATCGCTCACTGAGAAGTGCATCACGCATTATGTGCATTTGGGTCCGCAAAATTAAATATACAAGGGTAGTAATTCATAGCAGGTGTATACGTCATTTTTTGGGACGCTGAAGTGTCACCCACTTACTAGATGTAAGACTTAGATCGCAAGGAGGTCTCGCACGTTTCGTGTCGACCAGGTGAGCAAGCAGGGATTTAACTGAAACGAGTCCGGAAGCCAGCAGCCACTTGTTCCTGCCAGTTATTTCGATGAAATGAGTGTTTACTGGTTAACGAAATTCTAAAAAATCAACTAGGAACTAATAAGAAATTAGCACTCACACAACACATTGAAACCAACAGGATACAAAGAGTCACTTTCGTTGGAGTGTTTTCCTATTTACAATGCCCATGACAGATTCCTTCCTCAGTTTTTTTTCGGAATCATAATAAAAGTATAGCCTATTCGCTGTGCTAGACGTTGAGGTGAGGTAAAGTGCTGGATAGCCTATTTTCATCATCCAGCTTCTTGTTTTGAGGTAAAGAACACCACACCACCAATCGAGCGCTCAGACACCTCAGCGCCAAGCGTTTGTTAGCACGACTACGCATGCCACGGTTTCAAACTTTGGTACAATGTCTTACTATAAATATCACTATACCAAATAAACACATGGCACAGGCTTTGCTGTGCATTACCCAAACAGCGCATGAAGCGAGCTGAAGAATCCAAGTTCCATGTGGTCTGTCCCAGACTGTCCTACCCAAACCATCACAAACGATGATGATAGCTAGAGAAGTGCACCCTGTAGTTGACGCACGCCGCCAATAGGAGCCCAACATTTAGCTTGCCCAAAGATAATTCGCCGCTCCTATGAACCTCCCCTCAAATTCAATTTCGTTGCTTGCCTCCCTCTCCTTGAAGAAAAATCCAATCACCCTGCACATTATGATCTGGGCTCTTAGCTCCCCTGGTGGAGGATCTCCGAACCAGCGCAGACCCCTAGGAGTCTGTGGACAGTCGTACAAGAAGCGCTGCTCTAGAGTATGACAGCCTGTAGTGTAGACACCGTCACTGTCCTCTGTTTATAAAAGAGATGGAAACAAACGAAAAACTCACCACGACTTGAGGACCAAATTGGTTCCATTCGAATCGCTGCCCAAAGTCAGGTTTCTAAGGAGTCTCGTAAGGTCAAGGGGGCGCACGGGACCACTTAGATCCTAGGAGCCAAATGCAATGAGCGATGACAGTAATTAAGAACAAAGTGAGCACACCCTCCAAGCACATGAAGTCGACGGCAGCAAGCGACCAAGGCGATGAGCGACATCTACAAATCCGAAAACCGAGCAATGCAACGAGGGACAGTAAGATGTCCCTGTCGTCGCCACTGACTCTCATCGCTGTCGCCGTTCTCGTTGCTCACTATACTCCGTTTCAAACATAGCGTGCAATGTAGTCAAAGCTAGCGCGCCGGTTTGCACAGCCGACCGCGACTACGTTCGCTCCACAAAATAGTGCGGCCCCTGAAAAAAACAAAAAGTAGAAAAGTGTACATCTTTGGAGCTAATAACTAATAGTGGCGTTATGATTTCGAGGGAACACCGATTCTTTTTCAATAAAAAGGAAAAGATAATGTAAACTACTCCAAATTATTTTCCGTTTTTGTTCGTGCGGCACTCGCACTCGCTTCGGGTTTTCGGGTTGTGCGGCTGCCCCTGCCTCGCCGGTTTCGTGAAGATGGCGTCTTACGCGGGAAGCTTTCTTTTCCTGCTCGGATATTTTCGAAGATTCGTTGTGTAAAGATCTCGCAGAAGTGCAAGCAGGTGATCGCCAACGTGTACGCGAGTTCAAGAACGTGTTTCCCGGAGACGTCGGTCCGTGAGGTCCTGGAGACGGTCAGTAACGACACCGGAGTGTCTGGCAAGGTGGCGTCCCCGAAGCGAAGACCTCGCAACGTGAAAGTTCCGAGCACGCGGACAGTGTTGTGAACTGCCACCTGTTATTTCTGGTGTTAAAATCGGCCTTATGGCTTCAAAGTGAAACAAGCCTCAAGAAGGAACTGTGTCGGTGATGAATCGTGCCTACGGCTCCGTCTGCTTGCGGGACCTTACTGCAGGCGGTGCCCGTGATTGCATTCCGAAGTGTCTGGGTTCTTCTGCCTGCGGGACCGTAACCATGGTCGGCTCCGTCTGCCTGAGGCAGCTTAACCTTGGTCGGCTAAGTAAACGACGCACATGCCCGTGCCTGTATTCCGAGGCCCCTGCTTTCCTCGAAAAGGAAACAACACTCGATCCTGATCTCGAGTGCCGTGTGTTGTGTACGCGTCTATTGTGAATCACTCCCGGTTCATGGGGGCGCCGGCACCAGAGCACCGAGATACTGCCGTCTGGATGACTTCTTCCATACACCGGCGAGTATTCTGACTCTGAAGGAAACTTCCATGAAGTCACATCACGTGAGGGAATGCCAAGCCGTCTGAACAATGGCAGTGCGGTCCCCTAATCACAATATTCGTTATATAAAGGACCGTCCACCACACTCTCAAGGTACTCTCTGATTTTCACGCTACCATGTAAATAAACGGCTTTAAATAGAGACGCCCTGGATCTCGACCGTTCTTCCGTTTTGACGAGGCCGGCGCAAGTTCGAGCGGAACACCAGCCCCTGGTCTACCTTCTTATAAATAAAAATCTACAAGAAAAGAGGAATTGAAATATGCACTTCCGCAATACGCACAATCTTGCACAAAAAATCGGTCGAGAAGACAAAAAAAAAAAAAAAAAACCTTTGCGCTTTAAGTGGATTCGAACCACCGCCACCGAGATGTCGGCAAGGCCGGCATCGCCAGAGCAGCGCCTTGTACCGCTCGTCCACGAAATCTCGCGGAGTAACACAATTTTGTGTGTTTTTTCATGCGCACTACTTCAGTAGCTTTCCCAGCGTTGCACGCGATGTTTGAAACGGAGTATATGTCACTTACATGCGATTTAACCTTTACAGTTAGAAGGTATCTCAACCAATCTGTTCCTTTTTGCATTACCAGTACGGTAAAAAGACTAACAGTTAAAGGAGTTAGGAATTGCACCTCCGTAGAGGGAGTCCCATTCCATTTACCTCAGCAAAGATTCGTCAACAACATTTGCCTTGTTTTTTTCAATGATATTTGTAAAATGAAATGTCGTAAAAATCGCCAAATATTACAGAAAAAAAATGTTAAGGACAAAAGAAAAAGTATACCCAAATTCTGCATCAAACCTGGGCAAGCTGCATATGAAGCAGATACCTTTCCACTATTGGCAATTTGTTTTATACGACACCTAGTAAGAGTTTCAGGTCGTGCTAGGGATGAGCTCATACCGCGGCGCCCCAAGCGGCTAACTTTAGAGCTGCATGGATGGGGACAACAAATAACAATGACTCAGCGCTCGGCTGATTTAACCGAACGCCGCGTCAGTGTTTGACTGCAGTTTGTGTTCTCCGGCAGCCCGAAGGGGAGGAGGGGCTCTTTTGTTACCACTCCAGCCTGCATGAACAATGCAACACGCACAGTGCATATGCCCGGCTCAGCACAAAAGCCCAAGTGGGTCAAGCTCGCATTTTCTGACGACTGCTTTCAAGCAAGATCCGGCACTAACAATAGAAGTCACTTCGTTTATTGTTTGTATTGTTAAGACGCGAACATGCCCACAAGGCCTCTATGTCTGCAGGCCTTGTGTTGGGTGAACAAGAAGTGTGGGAGGGACAGCAAACGGATCAGAGCAGCCCCTATAGTTCAATATCCTCGCCAAGAGCTACTTATCATCCGAGATCCCGAAGCATGCGTGCAAACGCTTCTCCAGCCGTTCCATTCGACTCTCTCCCCAGCTGTACGAGCGTAATTGCACTAACTCCTTCCCTCGCCGCGAGGTGGCAATGTCCTCCTAGTCATCACAGAGCGAGCCGTGCTTCACAACTATATTCATAAAAGGCTCAGGCCGGGTACGGGCCTTGCATTCAAGTCTATAAGGCGGGCCAAAGTGGGCCAAGTCAGCTGTTACTTTTATTTTTTGGCAGCATGTTCTTTGGAAGCGTGTTCGGGGGTTGGTAAAAGAACCACAGTGGGGAAGACACAGATGCTGAAGCATGAGCATGTGTGTGTATGTTTTTGTACAGTTTGGTGTGTGTGCAGCGAAGGCTTTCCCAGAGCACTAGCGGCACGGCGTTCCTTTTCGACACCGGCGGCGCTGCCATCACACCATTACTTCTCATCAACACGCACACAAATGTACCTACACAATGCGCACCCTGCCGGCGTAAACCATCTGTACATATGAGTGCGTGCATCCACAATATGGATGAAGAGGTTCCCCTGTGGGGTGCTTTTTCTGAACAATTTTTCACAGACCACCGCAAAAAGAAAAGCACAATTGTTTTATAAATTTTTTTGTTTCCGGTTGTCTTTTGTCCAAACCCGTCGGGACGTTTCCCTTCCTTTACACCTGTGACACATGGTTTTGTTTACTGCTGCTTGTAATTTTTCTTTTTCCGTTCTGTCCGTATTGGTTCGGTCATAGAAAAAGACGATCGGGGTGATTTTTCTTAATAAGCTGCCTAGGCTTGCAGACTGGACCAAATAATAATAGCAGCAAAAAACAAACAAACAAAATGCTTACAGCACTGACTATCGGGTACCGTAATCAACTTATGTATACTTGTGGCAAGCGAGCTGTCATGCCGCCCAATCTGTGACCTATTCATACTGGGCTAAAATAAAACGGCAGCTGGCCCGTGAAAGAATGCAAGATATGCAGCCCGTGCCCTACCCTGCACGAGACCAGTACGCCTACTCCAAACCCCGTGGGACTCATTAACCTGCACACAAGGGGAGGTCTCACCTTTTCGAGACCAGAGTTTGTGACAGTGCTTGTAACTCAAATAAGCACTTGACATTGCTGTTCCACACATTGGAAAGCACGGAGTGCTTAAAGAGTTGACAGCACTGATTTTGCCATACTTAGAGAAGTGCCCAGCAAGGATGACCTTGCAGCACAAAGTGGTAGGTCTCTATTGAAATATTTGTTTTTTGCCGCTTTAATCTGGCGGGTATACTCTTTAGGCAATCATAGTAGGAATCCCAAGCTAGTGGAGACGGGTTCTAATTAGCTTTTCTGAAAAGACACTTTTTCTTGTTCCCCAGAGACCTAATAACATTGTTGAACCAAGGATTACAGGTGTCACAGTGAGTATGAATCAATGGCACAAAACGCTCCATAAGACCATAAAATTTGTTCCTAAACAACAACCAGTTGCATTCGACCGTTCTTCTGGAGTGTTCGGCAAGAAATTGTACGTAATATGCAATTAGTTCTCGATTTATTTCTGCGTAGTCGGCCCTATTGAAATCATTAATCATTTTTGAGACTCAGGTTTTCACAGTTTTGGGCTGTGTTAGGGTGACTTGCAATAACTTATGGTCGCTGAAACCATTGCTATAGTCAATGGAGCAAACCAGATCGGGTGACGATGACAAAACAACATCCAGGATATCGTCTAGCCGAGTCGGGGAATCGACCACTTGTGTTAGGTTCGAAGTTAACCATAATTCGAGGAATTTCCGCGATTCACTAGGGCCCTTAGACGAGAGACTTGACCAGCGTATATCCGGAAAATTGAAATCACCAAACATTAAAAAGTAGGCATGAGGAAAGCGGTTTATTATCTCTAGCAAGGAAAAGTTCAGTCTAGTAGTGAAATTACCATCACTGCTGGGTGCTCTGTAATATGCTATAAGTACAAGTTTGCTATACGCCGAGCAAATACAAACGAGTTCACTGAAAAGAAACGAATGTTGTCGACGAAACTTCGCTGAACAAAATGGTATGGGACTTCCTTTCCGGAGGTGCATGGGGGACGGCGGGGCTTCGGTTGCCGGCTGGACGACACGAAGCGGCGTGCACGATGGGGCCAAATGGATTAATATAACTGTAATTAGCAGCCGCATACTGCCGCCGCGAACTGGCGTGAACGCAGGCAGGGGGTTGGGTTAACGAGCTCCCCAGTGATACACGCGCGTCGTTAAAACTCTCTTTCAAACTGTTTTTTTTTTGTGTGTGTGTGTGTGTGTGTGTGTGTGTGTGTGTGTGTGTGTGTGTGTGTGTGTGTGTGTGTGTGTGTGTGTGTGTGTGTGTGTGTGTGTGTGTGTGTGTGTGTGTGTGTGTGTG